GCTGGATTCTTCAGTCAGCTGTTGAAATCAAGAGCAACCTTTCCTCCTTTCTAAGAAAGTTCTTTCTAAGTCCTCCTACCAATTTGTCCCAGACATTTTGATGGCTGGAATAAATGAAGCCAATTTCCCGCACGGTCCCCTAGCCCGGGTGCACAAGCTTGGGGAGGCCACACAGCTAGTGGACTCCTTGTTAACCACAGACTGTGGTAGTTCCCCTTTGTCTTGAATTGTTTTTCTGTAAAATGGGACTAAATCAAAGCCCACCTCACTCTCTGGCAGCTTTGAGATTGAAAAGAGATTTAAACATAAAACTACTTTACATATGAAAGGCTAGCGATCACCTTGTTAAAAAGTTAAGCTATAAATTTCTCCACAGTATTTTTTCAGACAACTGGATTTAAAAACAACCCTTCTGCTCAGGGATTTGATTTCTGGTGATCTGCATGGAAACGTTAAAGTACACATAAAGAATCACACTTCCTGAGTTATTTTCTTACAACTTCGAGGACTTTCCTTATCTTTGGGGGCCGGCTCTCTCACAGTTCAGTCCTGAATACCCCAGGGAACATTTTCTTCTGTAGATTCACGCATTAACATTTCACAAAAGCCTTTCAAAAATCCCAGCTTGATGAAAGATTTCATCTCTTTAGAAGCAGTTATGCATTTCTAAAATTAATCAACTTTCTGATAGACTCCTAATGATATGAAAGAACTCACCTAGCAATCACAAAATGTAACAAAAAACTGGGCAGTTGGAATGAATGACAATGAATGAGCTTCTTCAATACAGCAACTTTGAAGTGTGTTTTAAAAATTATTATCCAGCTTTGCTCGGGGAATTGGGGGGGGGAGAGGACGTAACAAAAGCCCTTCTCTTGCCACAATCTGCTGCTACCCTGGCCTTACATGTTTCACTTTCCACTGTTTGAAATCCAGTTCTGTTGGGTTCCGACCTTTGACAATGTAACTCCTTTTTAATGGAACTTTTTCTACCTCCCAACCAAAATCTCCTTCCAAAGTAACACTTAGTTTTGCTTGCTTGTCATTTTAAGGAAATGTTGGCAACAACAATCCTCAGCATTTAAAGTTTTCTTTCTGCCAATCCCACGCCAGAGGCATTACTTGTGGGGTGTCAGGGGGCAGGTTGTGTGAAAAGGCAAACCAGAATTGATTCAAGCAGAAAGGGAAGTAATTTAGTTCTCCACTTTCAATTTTTGTAAAGGCACATACTGCGTGTAGAGACTCCATACACAAGCCTGTGCCAGGGCCTGGGGAAGAGTAACTACTCCGCCTAACAGCTCTTGAGTTTGAAATCAACTCTTCCCTTCCTCGCTGACCAGAGACCCACTGATCCTAGGGAAGGACAGCGTGGAAGGAAATTGGGGACAAATCTAGCATATGTTTATTTGCTAATTTTTTTTATTGCCCACAAATAAGCACACAAATACAGCTACCCTTAATGTAATATTGCAAAGTACAGGGAGATGAATAGCCTCATGGTATTCTGGAGTTAGGCGGCTGGGGTGGAACCTTGTTCCCTCGACCTGGAACTCAGAAGCTGTAGGCAAGCTGCCTTTAGGGGTTTGATGGAGATGGTGAACATCTCTCCGACATAAAACGAAACAAAACAAAAAACCCCCACTTCTAGCCCCCGCCCAAAGCAGGGTGCCATATCACCTCCTTTCGCAAGTGATCAGTTTCTGCCTCCTCCAGGCCGCCGCGTGCCTGGCCCCAGCTCCATCAGGGCGCGCGTCTCCCTCGCCACAGATGTGCTGGGTCGGGACCCAGGGGCGCGCCCTCCGCACGGCGCTGGGCCTCCACGCTATTAGTGTTGTACCGACAGCCTCGAAGGGCTGTCAGTTCAGCACACCGGGGCAGGACTGGCTGTATAGCCCTAAGCGTTTTGGTCCTTCTGTCGCAATTGAGGTCACCTTGGGGCGCAGGGGTGGGGGTGCAGCCTCCTCTAATGCTCTCCCGGTCCTGCTTCGCCTTTTCCAAGCATCTCTGGTCTGAGACGCAGGCTTCCATTCTAGGCCTCCTTAAACTTTGGAAAATATGAATGAACACCAATTTGTCCCAGAAACTCTTGAATGCAACCCACTGGGCACACAGGCCGGGGCCTGGGATTCCTCGCTTGTGGTTTGGCACCTCCCGGACCATACCCGACCGGTTTCACAGCCCTTGTCAACATCGTCTTCATGTGGATCCAATGACAGGTCTCAGCGGCCTCCCTTCCCAAATGCAGCTCCAGGGGCAGCTCTCTCTCAGCAATGCGGGCCCACTCTGGAGAGAGAAGTCGGCTTGCCCCACCCCCTCCCCTCCTCTCCTCCCACTAGGGTGACGGGATATATAAGCCCGGAACTGGACAATTTTAGCCAGTCCACTTACACGCCCGGGGCGGGCTGAAGCCACCGAGCTGACTGTGATCTATTCTAGAAGGACTCTGTGCCAACCCCGGAAGAATGGTCGGTGAGAGGTGGCTTGGCAGAGGCAGGCCTCTCACAATGTCTCCTAACTCCATTCCTAATTTAAAAAAAATACAGTTAATAATGGCCACAACTTGTAACATGCCTCTAATCCTTGCAGCCCCCCTCCTTATTAAGTGCCATTTTACAGAGAGGCCACAGAGCTCAGACACTAAGAACAGGGGCAGCCATTAGGATTCAAACCCGGGCTTTTCTGACTCCAAGGCCTTGGCTCTTCAGGGCTGCTCCCCAAGTTGTGTCACGTGCACCCTTTTCTGGGTAGTTCTTTAAATCAGGGGTCTTCTTCGTTTGGAAAACACATCGAATTCTTCTTTGCTCACTTCCTCTTCTTTCGGTACACGCTCAAACTCCAGTGCCCCACTTCTGCCTTAAAATAATCACATATTGACACGGAGGAGGCAGCGGTGACCGTCACGCATGACTTCTGGAGCTCAGAGCTCGTACCCGCCTCTGCTCCCTTAAGTATCTTACTTCATGTCACAGAGATTGCAGCTTAAGGAAGCTCCGCACCCCATCCTGCAGCCAATATTAGGGGGAAAGCCTCACCCCGAGCTCCCTGCGGGGGCACCTGCCCTGCCGCGCGCTTCGGGGACGTCGCTGCTGCGGGGTCCCAGCGCCTCTTCACATCCGCCTGGCCGCCCTGGTCCCTGGGCTCGACTCCATCTGCAGCAAAGTACTGGGGCCAACTGAACTGCGGGCCTTTCCCGAAGGTTCCTGCCCTCCAGCGAGCAAGGCTTGAGGGGAAAAGGAGACCCACTCCTCACGGCGTCTCCCTGCATAGGACCCGGGCATGGGGTGGGAGGGAGACTCAATGTAAAGACAGGTTGAGCACAGCCCTTTCGACCCCTCCGCAGACCCGACCTCCAAGTCCGCACAAAACCAACCGGGGTTGGCGATGGGGGTTGGGATTGCTGGGAGGAGAGCGACACCGAGCGCGCGGGGCCAACTAGGTTGCTCTCCGGACGAGTAAATGCTCCGCCGCCAGCCGCGCGTGAACATCTCTCTGGATCATCGATCTATCACCTCCCTTTAGGGACCCGGACCGGGAAATTTCCATTTTCTGTTTTCGGAATAAGAAACAGAAACCAACCACGCTGTCGCTCTACTCTCTCCCTCGGGTCCTTCTGCCAAACGCGTGGCAGAATGGGCTTGGAAGGCCGGGGCTGTGCCCGGGGCCGTGGGGATCCCACGAGCGCCTGCGCACCCGGAGCCCAGGCTTGGGGTCCCGACGGGTTTTGTGGGGCGGGGGACAGAACGCGGCAGCAGGGGTTTCGGGACTCCAGGAGCAGCGATGGTCGTGTGACCTGTTTGCCGTTCCAACACACTTTCCAGGGCTCGCGGACACTCTCATCCTTGGTCGCCGCGAGGTCCGGCTATGACCTTGGGGGCAGAGGTGGCGAGGAGTTGGGGGGAGCCCCGAGGCAATTTGCACGGGGGTGGTTAATGCAAAAGTAGCAGGAAACCCTTTCTCCAGAGAGGGGCAATGAACAAGAACTAAAGGGGGAATTCAAGTAGAAAAATCCGCGAATGCAAGAACGACCCACAGCTGGAGCCAAGAGGTTTACCTTAAGCTCTAGGTGGGTATTTCCTTTTCCGGGAAAAGGCATTATTATGATTTTTCTCCTGCAAGTATGTGGACAAATTTTCCTTCTAGACGTGTTACTTAGCGCGCGCATCCCGGCTGGACATTAGACTGTATGTTATTTACTCCAGCGTCATTCACCAAACTGTGCAAAGAATGTACTTTTTAGCCCTTCCCCAAAGCTATTTAGGAGGGTAAAGCTAGTTCTTTTGAGTTAAAAATGATTTTCATTTCAAAAATCATTCGTTGCAAGACTTGTTAGGTTTCAATTAAATTTGTTTTTTAAAAAATAACTTTTTAAAGAATAACAACACTTGGCTTCCTCTAATAGACAGATGCTTGGGCACTCACCCTAACAGTTACACACCCCAATGAACAATTATTAAGTCATTTCAAGCAATTTGCAGTTATGTATGTTAAAGAACATTTCTGGGCACAAAACCAAAAACTTTTCATTCTTTTACAGAGTGAGTATATAGAGTACATTTCCCTTTACACACCTTTCTGTGTGGCTCCAAGGAGAGTCCAGTTAGTTTTCATAAAACTGTGAGCACCTCCTCTCCCTGCCCTTGACTGCTGTTGTCCTCACTGCAGGAGCCACTGGAGGTTGGGCTGGGAAGGAGCTTTTAGAAACCTGGGTAGAGAAGGGCAGGAGCAGAGAACACCCAAATCTAAAGAGAAGCTCCAAGATGCTGACCGGCAAATAGAACCAGCAGGCAGGTTAAATAGGGTAGGCCATCAGCAAAAACCTCCTGCTGACCCCAAGTACTCTCCCCTCAAATACATGTATTCCCCTTCATTTCTGAATTCTATTGGCTAGACAGTCACACACACACACACACACACACACACACACACACACACACACGGCTAAGGAGGGCAGTTAACAATCATTCATACTTGAGGACAAAATGGGTCAATTACTCTTGAGATGAGCTGTATCAAGGAAATTGACATTTTATTTAAAGGAAAAGAAGGGTGGGTAATTTCCAAGCATAGAGCAATTTGAACTGTGCAGGAAGCAGCAAGCTTGGGGAGTCTAGGGGAGCACACAGGACACCCCAGGGCTTAAGGAAAGGACACTACTGAGCCTGAGGGTGGAAAACACAGGGAAGGTGAGCATTCCCACACAAGCTGCCTTTAAAAAATCCTGAGAGGTGGTAGAGCTCATCTCTAACCCAGGAAAGGGGGAGAAATCTCCTTTCATGTTTATCACAGGGTCGCTTACCTCTAGGACCCAGAAATTGAGCTGAAATGACATTATATAATAACTGTGGAATACACAGATTTTTGTGCGCTAGTCTGGGTACCTAGAGACCACTTACACCACCAATGGGAGAGTGAATTTGGAGATCCAACAAGTTGTTTCACTTCCAAAATTTCGGGACTTAGGTTTATGTAATTCAGGGATAATTCCACTTATTTTGCATTAACTTACTTCATTTAAATATTATTTATGAGTGAATGCAGTAGCCCAGTATGCCAGCATATTTTAGGAAAAAAGTACAAAAATAAAAACTACAGACACATTATAAAGCATAATACTATTATTTATCTTTCAAAGTTGTTGCAAGAAAATACTTTGGGGGAAGAAATAACTTGAACATGTCAATTACTAGTTAACATTACTAGCATTCCTCATCTTACTCATTATTAGTTACCATTAATTGCTAATGGTAACTAATAATACACAATATATGAGGATATAGTCAACATGACCTTTGCCATGAAATACGCTGTCATATCTCTTTTAGCAAAATGTGTTGCCTACTAGGTGCAAAGCTGTGTTAATATCTTTTACGAATTTGATTGTAAACAAGACAAAAATAACAAAGCACAGAGCCAAATTGTTGAGATGTTTATAATACTGCAAACATTCTTTTTTACTGCATTTAATCTAAATGTCTAATAAATACAGAACTGGTTATGACTAAATGGACTTTTATTGCCTGGAAGCTGTTATAAGTAGGAGAATAAAGTATGTTGATGCCAGCACACTTACTAGCCCACACTTTGGGATTTTTTACACTTGATAGAAGAAATGTTCAGAGCAGAACAGGACACAAGCCCAATGAATAATCTATCTATGTTTAGGTTTGGCGGTCCTGTAAGCCCAGGAATACACCTGAAGACCAGTTCAGAGTACGAACAACCAAGGTTAACATTTTACATACATCACAACAATGGCAAATTAACTGCAAAACAAACTTTGCACATACATGATAAAATGTTAAATACAGACTGTTTTAACACGGGTATGATAGAGCTGGAACAGTGATTAGAAGTAGTTTCTTCTCACAATATTGTATTATGAGAAATACATATTCTATTCACACACAGGACACTCCTTTGATGTGATGACAGAAAAAAAAAGTCAACTAAAAAAAAAAGTGCACATTTTAATCACAAAGCCAAAGCTCATTTGAGGTCAAGCTACACAAAAGAGACAGACCTTGTTAAAAACAAACAAACAAACAAACAAACAAACAAACAAACAAACAAACAAACAAACAAACAAAACAAAACCCCCAAAATTGGTATTTTCCCCTTTATATCTGCTTCCAGGTTTATTTTTTTAAATGTAGAGTGAAATACAAGCAGTTTTATTTGGCCAAACAATGTAACAACAAGGACAATGAACAAAAGAAACAATGCCAAGGTCCTCTTTTCTTCTATAGGGCTGCACATCATCAGCCTTCTTCTTCCTCTTCGTCGCTGTCTTTCATGGTGATGCCCTGAAGTCCTCCTCCTTCGGAAACAGAGGCTGTAGCCTCCTCCACTGTTAACCGTCTGTGCAGAGTATCGTAGGTCTTGCTGTTCAGTGTGCCTTCCAATACACCCTGCAACCGGAAGTCCCTATAGCTTTTCTGGAGGAAGAAGAGATAATCTGCTTAGGCACCTTATGGATTGTATGTGTAGAGGTCTATATGGATGCCTATATGTACGTATATTCAACTGGCATTTCAGAAATGATCTTGGACAACCCACTAGTAGATTCAGATTTTCAATCATCTTGTTGGTATATTTCTGGGAAGAAAGTGAAATGAGAGACTTTGGGGAGTGCTATTCAAGCTAGAATGACTGAATTGATCAATATTTTGTAAACCATCCGATGATAAATGAGCTTTTCTCCAAAATATTACTAATTGCATAGAATGTACTACTTGAAAAACCTGTAACAAAGATAAAATGACACGTACTTATGTACATTTTGAATATGAAAAAATGCTTAGTTTTCTAATTGAGGAGTCTTTCCTTTAATACTAAAAAATACCTTATACTTTATAAAATGCATTAGCTTTTTTGAGGAGGTGTGTGGAGAGGATTAATCCTATTAACAGTAAAAGAAGTTTGCATTTTCAGCATTTGTGAATTATAAAATTTCCACTGGGTAAAATGTTATGAATTACCTACATGTCTGTATGAATTCTGACCTTTCCTTTTGAAATCCCTTTGGAGTATGAATTGTCAAGTTCTGGCATTAAGTGTTCACAGTTGGGCTAATAAAACACATATTTACATTTTGGTGAAAGAGTAAATTATAATTTGGTGTATTTTATGTCAAAATAGAACAAATACCATGTTATTGTTTCTATAGTGACTCTTAAAAACAACAAGAACAACAGAACTCTGGGTTATGTGGCACTTAAGACATGTGACCTATAAAGCTTCCCTTAATTTTTACTTTTCTCATTAAGTGTGATTGTTCTTCACGTGGGATTTTTCTATGACTAAACAAGACTGGTATTTTATTTTGATTTTTAAAGTTGTAGGAAAGTCTAGAATTAGTTCAATGGGGAAACAGCAGATGAAGATATTCCATTCTGCAGAGGCACTTCTAAGGCCACTTTTAAAGCTAATTATCTTTAAAATATTTTTACTGTCATATGTTAGATTTACAATAGTAAGCAGTCAGATTTCAATGGACTGACCCAAAAGTATCAGGACCCATCAATGTGCCACTGATTGCTGGTAGTCTTTGTTTTTTTTAATTTTTTTTTTTCATTTTGGTTTGTGCTTAACAGATTAAAAAAAAGTCAAATGAGAAGAAATGTTGTCTTCAAGGCCCAATATTACAACTTCAATAGCTAGAAATTAACATTAAAGGATGCTTGATTTCACTCAACACAGTGGAAGGAAAATATAATAACATTCAGACAATTGAGCTAAAGGCTAAAGGTGCTATTCACATGAGGTAGGAAGTACGGATGATGGCACCTCAATTCCCCTGATATACATGCCTGGCTTACTAACAGGCTTCTGGGAAGGAATACAACCATGGCAAGGTAGTGAGACCACTGGTATTTTCATATTATCTTCCTGTCTTCTTTCATCTGATTTATGCCCCAAGGTGTCGTACAAAGTTTCATAATTGATATTCCAAAAGTGAGTATGGAAGATAATAATTTTTTATTTGGATACTTACTTGTTATAAATAGAATTCATATTTGAAAAGTTCACCAATATCCAAAAATAAACTGAGCTGTGAGGGACACTGTACGGTATTTGAAGTCAGTATCTCAACAGCAAGTAAAATGTAGATTTAGAGGGTAGGTTTTCTTAAATGATCAAAACAATTTTCGCCTAGATCCTTGGAATATTCCCTTGGAATATGAATTGTCAAATTCTGGCACAAAGCATTCGTACGTGGGCTAATAAAACATGTATTTACATTTTTGTGAAATAGTAAATTATAATTCAGTGTCCAAAATAGAAGAAATACGTTATTGTTTCTATAGTGATTCTTAAAATCAACAAGGACAAAGGCAAAATAAAACAAATATTTTGTTTTAAGACACATGCGTCCCACCATCCTCACTTTCTCTAAGCTGGTAAGCAAGCATATTATTACTAAGGTGATTGGAAATTTGCATCAGAACCCGTGAAAGAATCCTGAAAGGTAAGTTTTGTCTAGAGAATTTGGTAACTGATAACACATGGTGTTATTACCATATGAATTTGTGCTCAAGCCTATAAGTGTCTAATGCTTAAAGCATATCAAGCACACAAAATATTCATCTCCAGATGACGTATCTGGTATAAAGTATTATTGGCCCACTGACAATTATATACTGAGTTTGTGAGTCCTACTTTCTGATTTTATTGGAATGACTTTCCTTAGACTTAGCTTAATTATCAATAAGTTGGTCAGGACAGATTTGTACAGTGGACTCGCAGTCCTGAAGGCTCTCCGATTTATTTTCATAGCAAGAAGCAAGCAGTTAGGGGAGCTAAGGGCAGGTATCCTTGCAATCTCTCTCTCTTTTTAGAATTCCTAAAATCTACTGGCAGTTGGACGTTGTCTGGCTGCCCCTGTGGTTCTGCTTGGCTCTTAGTTAAGACAAGTGCCTGCCACAGAGGGCTGCTCACTTGTCTTCTTTTTTCCCAGGGATAGAGGCAGCTGAGCTATGTTAACTGCTTTTAACTGCCATATGGCCACTGGGGAGAACACAAATCCATCATTGTGATTATTTGAGGATTCTATTTTCCCCTCCCCAAATAGATCGCTCTGATGTTAAAACTTTGCAAATCACTTCTTAGTCCTCAATATTCGGTTGGAAATCTTATTGGAATTTGCTTTTTCTTAGTGAGAAACATGAAGAAACCAATTAGCATCTAGGTGTCTTTGTGGGACAAAGTCGGCGATAAACTTTGATGGTGCCTGGGTCTTCCCGGGCATCCGAGGATGACAATGCTGGTGAGTAGTGAGGGTCGCCAGGGTCCAGGAGCTTGGCCACTACTCAGCTGTAACACGCAGGCCGTGTCTAAGTGATCTGGGGGGAAGGGAAGCCTAGTCCGGGGCTTTCACAATCCTACACATGTGTTATTGAAGTTTCTTAAATTCATTGGAACGTAAACATAACCACACAGGCTCTGAAGACCGATCAATCTTTGTGTGAAATTGATTAAAGTCTGTTTATATTCAAAGTACGAAAAGACAATTAGAACATTAAATTATTAATTCATCCTGATTTTCATTGTGAACATAATCATGTTTAATTATTAAATAAAGCCCTATGGCTTGATTAAATGCATCAGCCCAAGTAAGCACTGGCTAAGTCTGGGGATCTGCATGTAAAAAACAAACCATGGAAAGTCAAACATATTCCTGAAACTTCATATCATGTTTATCGGTCTTGACTTTTGGCAGCCATAGTAAACAATATATTAAAATGAGACAAGTTGATTGGCTTAGAGTACAATGGCAGTGTCACAGCACAACTCATGAAATTATTAATTGTTCTTTTCCGCTAAAATATTCACTGGGGCTTGATCTTTAACTGTAACGTCATGTGTGAATATGAGACAAGAAGTGACTTTGAAAGAAACAAATAATGAGCTAATAAAAAAATTAAGATTTTTATTCTAAAAACAAAGAGCTTAATCTATCAACGAATTCCCATCGGCTGAATATGTATTTTCTGACATCCTGAACACAGTAGTGTGAGCTTGAAAATATGGCTGATCATAAGGGTCACCAGCTAATCCCAACAGTCTCAACTGCAGCCTTAGTAGATACATAGATTTAGAAGGTAAACTCAGATTATCCCGATTCTTTTTTAAGAAAAACAGACTTCCTTTGAAAGCTCTCCAAGTCACATTTATAGAAACAAGGAAGAAGCAATAGGGAAACTACAGGAAATATGAACATATCTTAGCGTGCTTTCAGTTTCTTTGTACACTAAATAATACCTGCTGAGAAGTGTGCTGGATCAAAGGTATTTGTCCATTGAAATGTAATGCGTTTAACAGTATTAAACATTAGTGAATGGCTATAATTTATTGGTTATTTATGATTAATCATGATTGCTATTCCTGTGTCATTAGAGAGCTGAAGCTACGTTCCAGATTTGCCAACTTCTTACTTTGGAACAGAACTCTCCTACGTGTGGGTCTTTCCAACCTGTGGGAGCCTGTGTCTTTGGCACAAAATAATTTGTATTCTAATTAGACTGCAAGAACCAAGAGAGTGACGGCAAATATTTTAATGTGGACAGAAGCTTTCTGTAATGGCGTAACACAGTGGTTCTTCTCAAACTTTGATATCCCTCAGTCTCATCGGGAGGGCTTGTTAATATACAGATTGCTGGGCCCCACTCTCCAGAGTTTCTGATTCAGTAGGTCTGAGGTAGGGGACAAGAATTTGCATGTCTAACAAGTTCCCAGGTGATGCTGATGGTGCTAGGTCAGGAAGGACACTTTGAGAACGAGTGTGTGCGTGTGTGTGTGTGTGTGTGCACATGCGTGCATGCTGACACACACATATATACATATACATACACAGAAATATACACATATACATAAATGCGTATATACATATATGCAGGTACACACACATATATAAATGGTATATTTATATATATGTGTATGTACGTATATATATTTGTATGTACCAACTAGATAAATGGTGCTAAATTGGAAGTAAAGGTCACCTGTTTAAAGGAACAGGGATCTCAGTAGCTTAGAGTTATGTTTTTAGCCATCACGTAGGATTTATCTCAATTTTAAGAAAAAGCTATACTTGGGGTATTGGGTTGTCGGAAAAGTCATGACGTATTTTTTCTATGTTTTTTGTTGCAAAAATGCGTCATCACTTTTCCAACAACCCAATAAATTGATGCTGCCACTAGAATTTACAAAGTGTGAAAAGTTATGTTGAATATGTTATTTTAAAGCCCTTATTCACTAAATATAACATGTATGTTATCACCTTTCCTCTTGAAGAGCAAAAGTCAAAATGGCCTCGCTGAACTGATGTGACATCTGCTAGTTTGGATGGTCCCCAGGGCTGAAACTGAGTCTTACATACAGGAAGGAGCAGCTTCCAAAAGAATTCAGGCAGCGACAATGTGTTCCTTTTGTATCAGGATATAACAAAATATGGAGACTTTCCCTACTCTATTGGCAAATACAATTCAAAAGCCCTCGTAACGATATACCATCCTAATAAATATGGAGGAAATGGATTATGAGAAAACATTTCTATATTGAAGAAAATACAAAATTATTGTGAACCTACTACATTCAGGTAAACGTGCTACAGGCTTTATGTACATTATCTTAAACTGTGATTACTTGATAACAAAATATTTTTTCTTTATTAGAGCAAAAAAAGATAAGTTTATATTTATTTAGTCATCTAACTGAAAATGGAAGTAAAAGCAGCACCTCAGCTAAAGGTGATGTTTTGAAAGACTTACATCCACTATGTTATATCAAATACGACTTTTTGTTTGTTTGTATGTCAATATCTTGCCATTACTCTTTACAGCGTGCTGGGCAGTTCACATCTAAACACATTTTGTTTACCTTCACGATCTTGATGAGCGTCTTCAGTTGGTAAATATGGAGCTGGAGGTCTAATCTATCAGCCAACCACACACAAATGACTTTCATGGAACTGCTGTACCATTGCTGGAGAGAAGGATAGGGGTAGAGGGGAGGAGAACAAAAAAGAAAGCCTCTGCAGTATTCATTTAACAGATTCGGTAATGAGGGGGTAATGAAACACTCTGAAATGACCACAGATCAGCACTTGAAGTCAATAATGCTATAATTTCCTGTTAACAGAATTGCATGTTTTGCTAGAAAATCTGCGAAGTTGACCTAGGCTGTTCTTTCCATGAATTAACATTACAGTCTTTTCAGCTGTAACATATTCATGGGAAACTGTTTTTTGCACTTGCAGCCTAGCGGCCTGCTTTGTAATTTGTACGTAACAATGGGTACTAAATACATATTATGGAACTGAATGGACTGCCAAACAGCAGGAAATGCAGGTACGTTATTTTCACAGGAAAGTTTCCTATTAGCCTGTATGTTATGTAAAAATCAAAGAGTAGATGTGGTAATGCGTGCAGTCCATGCCTAGAAATAGCATTTTAAAGGAGGGGTGGCAAAAATGCCCACGCTTACTAAACAGTAATCCTCAATCACACCATATAGCTACCATCGATTGTGAAGTATTTTCCAAGACCTTTTAAAAACCACCTGAAATAAAAATTTGAGCTCTTAGAAAGGAACATTATCAGGATGGAATTCTTGTGTCTTATAAGAATCACAAAACAGATGTCAATTTACAAATTACAAAACACAAAGATCTGTTTCAGTTTGCAAGTGTTTTCACATGGTTCATATTTTTTCCCCTGTTTATTACAATTCTCTTGAGGGGAAAACTGAAATTCTTCTCTAATGTAATTTCTTGTTCAAACATAATGTCTGTATGTATAGTAAAAGGAAGAATTCTGTTTCTATTTTCAAAAAAAGGCAATCTGCCATTAGTGGTGACATTTTAAGGGATTCAGTGACTATGTGCCAGAGCCAGGTTTAGGTGATACTGTAAGAGTAATAATACTACTCATACAGAAAACCGTGAGAAATACCAAAGTCCATTCAGTACCAAGGAAATGAGAAAAGAGCTTTTGAAAGAGAAGAAATTTTGTGCCTTTTTCGTAAACAAACATAGTGACACTACCGATCACACGTGTGTGTGAATATTCTTAGGTACTGGAACACAGAAAAAAAAAATCTTAAATATTTTCCTTCACATAATAAAACAGTAAATTCAACTTCTAAGAGAAATCTTAGCGATACAAATAAGTCTGAAATTGATCTGGACATTGTTCTAATAACATTTAGTATAAGAAATGGTATTTTAAGCATAAATTAAAAATGAATTCGTTTCATATTTTATCACTTATTTCTATTAATTTGCTAGCATACTGAACACAAAAACATAAATGAGATAAGCTAAGTAAAATGAAGAACTGATTGACTAAATACTGTAATAGCAAATGGATGAATGAACATTTCAAGTTTAAAAATGTTGGATAGACTATGATTTTAAAAATATATTATTCATGTACCCAAGTATGCTCTTTCTTAATGATTACTTTCTTAATTTTTAGGACATGTATAAGTATCAAAAGTAAGTTTTATAAACTGAGAGACTCCTAAACTCTTAAAAAATGAACTGGTAATGATTCAGTACTTAGGCTGACACATTAAATCTCAAAATCTTTTATACTCTATTTCTGATGTCATTTAAATCCTATGCTTCCTTATTTCAAATTATTTATAGCCTCAACTTTTTTCAAGCATTTAATTCTAATTTTATTATTTTTTTATTATTAGTTTCAGTACAAAATTACATAGTGATTAGACATTTACACACCTCACAAAGAGATAACCCCAACAAGTTTACGGCCCATCTGACACTGTACATAGCTATTACAGTACCATTGATTATATTCCTTAAACTGTACTTTACATTCTGTGACTACATATTTTTCAAATTATAGTTGACATTCAATATTATTTTATGCTAGCTTCAGGTGTATCTTGAGTTCTATTTTAATACAGGTAAACACAAGTATTGGTTACCTTGAACCTGAGTATACCGAATTAAGACCCTCATTCCTACATCACTCTCCAGATAAGTGGAAAGCTAAAAGGTAGTCATAATGATTATGACTCTTAAATTATAGTCTTTCGGTAAGGGATACAAAATAAATTTTATTTTTTGCTGGGTGGGACAAAATATATATTGTATGAAGTCTAGCATAACACACTCTGACTGTAAAATTAGTATAAAATGGTAAGTTGTATGAAAATTTGAGAGAAATGAAAGTACTCTTAAAATTACACCATATGTAGCTTTGTTCTTAAAAAAAAATCCTTATATAATTTAAAATTAACTCCATTTCCCCATTACATGTATATACTTATGATGAAGTAATAATCAAAAAGACATCTAATGTAACACAGACATTTAATATGATAATTTCTTTAACACAAAATGGCAAAATGAAAATTTTAGAAAAAAACGATTTGGCAATAAAATGATCTAAAATTAGAGGAAAAATAATTATTGTTAAGTAAAATGCTTAAGCTACTTTACCATTATCTTAAAGACAAGCAAATTATTCTATAAGGAAAATTCTGTAAGAAAAATGATTGTATTAGATTATGCATATTTTTTGGTTCCCATGTCAAAGTATTTTGAAGAACTTCAGCTTAATGAAGCAAATTAAGAGAAAGCAGTAGCTTAGCTCAGAGTTTATGTTGCTACTAAGAATAAGCTGACAAAAATACCCCCTATAGGGCTGCTTCTTTTTTGTATGTGGACACGTGGACACACACACACACACACACACACACACACACACACACAAACCAACAAAATCACCAGACAGAAGTCGCTAGCACTTTCCTATTTCTGGTGCTGGAATTGATATGGTCCTTTTGGGTGCTAGAATTTCCCATTTTTTCATCTTGAGAAAAAAGGTCAGAGGTAAAGTAGCTTCATTGCCCTCCCCACCCCCACCAAACCAAACGAACCTCCCCAAATAAACAAAAATGTTTGAAAAGGGTGAATGTGCAGTAAAGTGTTAGAAAATGTCCTTTCATTTTAGAAAAGTTAATTTATAAGACAACTTGGTCAACTCTTCCATTTCCCCTTTAGGGGCTGGCGGGGAAGGGGCAGGGCAGCTAGCCCTGAAGTTGCGGGTGGGGCCTTATGCTGTCTTCTTCACTTTGGTCTACTTAGGAGTAAAGCAGTAAGTGTATATTCTACATTTTTCCCCCCCTTACATCAATGCATGACAGCAGTCTACCACTTTAACAAAAATATGGTGTTTTTTTTTTCTTTTTGTGGTTCATTCAACTCCTGTAAGGGCATGTATTACTCACTTCATTTTCTTGAGCTATCTCTTTTAAAGCAAAAATGAAAGGGAAGGAAAGGCTAGGGTTGACTCTGCGAGACCCCTGTATTTATTCACACTTATTGTGCATGACTGTAGACTGGTAAATCATATTAGCAGCCCATCTCCCCATCAAGCTGCTACTTGCTTTCCAGCCCTGGGAAGGTTCAACAAATCAACAGGAGCACGGAAAACAGAACATCAGTCTAATCTAGTGTTTAAGGTGAAGTTTTCAAACCCAATCTAAGAAGATCTTTAGAGCAAGCAACAAGCTGAAGGGGCTCAGAAGGTGGTATTGACAATGAAAGAGGGTTGAAATATTGAGAAGCGCAGCGCTTGTGCATTTTTAATAACAAGAGGGTCAACAAGGACACAGCTCCCTCGGTGCCAGGAGGTGCCACTGACTATGGAAATTGCCACACCAGGGCTATAAACGCTTGCAGTTCATCAGCTTTCTTAAACAGTTCATCAGCTTTCTTAAACACCCTGAACCCCCTCAGTGGACCTTTAGTCTTGAATTAACAAACCAAAGCAATGAAAGAGGGTGCAGTCTGAATGGCTGGCATTGATCCCCAACTGTGTCAGCACTGCTACAGGCCCTGAAAAACTCTCTCCATTGTCAATAGAAATTGACAAACCTCCCTTCCTAAATAGTGCAGCTGAGCCGGGCGGGATCCACGCAGCTGTAAAGGGCTCTGCTCTGGGGGCCGGGGAGCCCTGACAATGGAACAAGCATGAGCTCTTTGTCAGTCCCAGACTCGGCAATTTTCTAACAAGGATTAAAGTTGTTTCTCCGCAGCACTGATGAAAAGAGATTTAGCAACATACCGTGCTTTCTTCGGGCAAGTTAAAGAGAAGTAGTTAAGGAATTTCATTATTCTGTTGACTAGTGGGAACACAAAACAAATATATTTAATATGCACAAGTCCCTTTTCTGCCTAATGTGTAACATTTTGAGGATGATTCAGTTAAATATAAAGCTTATTGCTTGGAAACAAGCACTTCACATTTATTTCTGAAGTTTTATTTTTAAAAAGCCCAGCTGCTGGCCACCTGGAATGAGGTCTCAATACATACTAATGCACAATGCCTTTCGACCCTCTGTGGCCGATATTCCTAAATCTGAATCACAAGACCACATAAGGGTATATATCACGGCGGCTTCAAGGAAATGATTTCTGTCAGAATGCCGCTTCTGATGATGATGGCAAGGTAAAAATAGCTGCTTTGCTAGGGAACAAATCTGTGACATATTTTCTGCTTAAGTGTTTAGCTTTTTATTGATTATGAATTGGTACAACTAGTTGATATATTTTCATTCTTCTCCAGCTATGTTTGACTCAATAGGTGAGCAACAGGAAAAAAATAACAAAACGGAACCAACGCTGTTGAGTGCACTAAGATATGGAATGGCTAAATTTCCACAGTATGTATGTATTTCTTCATTTATTTTAAGAGAAGCTGTCTGTTTTACAAGTGTGGTGTCACTGTTGAAATGAAACACCATCTAGAAAATCTCACCTTAGGAAATATGTACTTTTTAAATGCTAAGTTGAATGGAATAAAAGGACAAATAGTATTTTTGAAATTCTGAAGGTTTTGATAAGTTTGATAAATATACGGCATCCTTGAGGATGATTTCATAGCTTCCGAGAGCAAAAAAATATTTAAAACGTAAATGCCTGACAGTTTCAACCAGTATATTAAAAAGTA